GACATGATGCAAATAATATATTGAGCAAGAAAAATGGTGCCCAGCACAACACAAATGTAAAAAAGACTAGACCAAGAACTTTGGTAGCTTTTTGTTCATTGGCAACTGCATTCGCTGATAATGATCTTCCTTTCTTCCGATTAGTAAGAAACCTATCGTCAGATACATTAATATTAATTTGACATCTTTAGACATAAAACTAAAAAGGATTAAATTAGCAGAATACAAGAAAATAGTAGTAGTAAAATTTACTATAACATGTAGTTTGTTTTAATCAATAAAAATGCTAAATTATTGAACACCCTAGTTGTTCTACCTACCTTAAATTGAGAGCATTAGGTGGTGCAATATTTAACTTCAACGGTCTCAAACGTGCCCGCCTTGTCTCCGCGGCTATGCTCGCTGGCGTCTGCGTGGCTACGTCGCGTCCTCTCCGTGACGACCCCGCACCGTTTCCGCACCCGTTCATATAGCTTAGCTGAGGGTTGGAGACGCTCATACCAATCTTATTTCTTTGGCCTCTGGAAACAGTGATAATTTTAAAAGAAACGTTATTTACAAGCAGCTTTTTTCTTTAAGTGTCACCTGCACACTTTTTCTTTTACCTGTTAGTTGAAGTTATCCTCCATGTCATATGCCTCGAAGAATTCCCACTTGGTGATAAGTCCGGGGAGCTCTTAGCACCTATACGTCTTGGACCTTGAGAAGGGCCATTGTCGAAACCTCCACATTGTCTGAAAAAATCTCCAATTGTATTACAACTTCATGTGATAACATATGACATGAATAGAAGTAAGATGGCAGTATTTTTCAAGAAAGAGGGTATCTTATCACAAACCTTCTTTGAGTTCCTCCTGGTACAGGCGTAGCTGCCAATAAAGCTTGTCGTTTCAGTAATTGAACAGTTAGTGCGAATGATACCACCATCATCAGCATTGGAATGTAAAACGCCACCAGTGAGCCGAACACCCAGAACAAACGGTTGTTAATCACGCACAGCTCCGGTGTCGGCATTATATTAGTTTGATTTATAATACCTAGAAAAACAATGATTTACTTCACACCTGTTAGAAATTATGGCCGAGAAGTTATTATAATCAGTAACTAAATCAACATCTTTAACTAACTAAAGATTACTTTTATACGCATTTCTTAATTAACAATATCTTCAAACTTTATGTAACGTAGTTAAAGAGTAAAATTTTAATTAATATCCAATAAACTTACCTAAAACTGTAATTGAGCTGGATACGAACATACTGAGAAGCCAAACGAGAGCAATTTTAATTACAACTACTCTCTTAGTGGAATGGTGACGGCTTTTGAGCGGATTACGTATACCAAGGTACCTGTAAAATCATTTTTTTAATTGTAAAGGTCGTAGCATATCTAAGAAAAATCATGTAATTCTAGAATAAGTATTCCAAAATTACATTTTCATTGTTATCTACTTAGATAACAATTTAGAAAAATAATTTATAAATGAAGGCAGAAAGAAGCTTCTTTATTATACCTGGGATGTATTTACAATACGCAGACATACCAAATTATGTACAAATAAGAAATGTGGAGATTTCAGGGCAGTTCCACAAAAAGTAAAGATTAAGATGTGAAATTGTAAAAGCCTAACAAATGTAGAATGTTGACTACGTACCTGCCGATGCTAATAAAACACATGTGCATAATGCTCGCTGAACACGCCAGCACATCGCAAGTCACGTACACATTGCACCACACAACGCCCAGTGGCCAGTAACCTGACAAACAGACATTAATGTAACATCCAGTGATGACAGCACAGGGACGTATTCTTATCTAAAGAGATATCACTAAAATAAGTCTTAGTTAAGACTAGTTAGTCTTAATTAAGACAGCAATCTTTAGACAAAATTAAATCCTAACAGATTTATGGTACATTTGTAAAGCTTCACTTTGTCTCATAGTATATATATATCACTTCATATCTACAAGTAAAGATGAACATGTAAAACTATTTCCTGCTTGAAATGTTTATGGTATCATAAAATTTGCATCCCGAAGGTTGGATATAAAAGAATCTTCAAGGTCAATGTGAAGATCACTATGGGGACTTTTTCTTATAGAAAAGTATATAGTATTATCTCGAAAATTCGATTTCAAAGAAATGAAAGCGTGTATGATCCTCAATAACCTTTTTATAAGCAAAAATAACGGTCCAAGTTCGGGCAAACGGCTTCAATATCCGAACGATAACATTTTTGAATATATCGTTGTTTGCAAAGTTTTTTTCCTGTTCTTTCATTGAATTTCCTGCTTCTCACAATTTAACATTTTGTTATATCGGACAGTAAATCAAGTATTACATGAATATTGATTTTAGTAAAACACTGAATGTAAACAAATGATACAATGATGATTTCGTCAGATTTTTTGTAATGTTTAACAATTTAATAATTTTGACGAGATTTTTTAGAAAGATTGATAAATCAGTCGTAACATCGATTGCAGACTGAAATTATTAAAATTTAGTTTCGCATTGCCAAAAATAGAAACCCAGATATGTTTTAGCTGAGCAAAAATATAATAAATTTTTCATTGTAAAAAGATTAAATAACCTTAAATAAGTAATGCTTTTAAAAATGAACAAAGACTTTAGTTTGTTTTATTAAGTTTATAAGTATGTCATTTAGAATTAAATTTAAATAATCTAGGAACAAGGAAAACCTGAAAATTTACTCACCTAGAAATCCAGGGATTGCACCCATGGGCATTACGAACAAACTAACGAGCAAGTCCGCTATCGCCAGCGACAGCAGAAAGTAGTTTGTGACATTTTGAAGTCTCTTATCTAAGCAGACCGCCAAGCATACCAGAATATTCCCAACGCCGCCCGCTATTATAAACAGTATTACGAACAAAAAGCTCCATTCATAACCGACAGATTCCAATGAATTTATCGTAAAATTCTTCACGTTCCACTTACATTGAACATTTTGCACGTCACTATTATTATAACCACTATCATTAACGTCCATGTATAACGTCCGATCGTCGTAACAGAATAAAGTGTCCCAATCACAGATATCAAATTGAGGTAGTTTTAACCAAAATGTTTTAATTGCGCTTTCGAAGATGTAGAGCATATTGATTTTTAATTTACCGTCACATACTGTATAGTTAAGATTATAATCCATGCTGTTATTAGAACATTTGAAGCAACTATAGGATGTTTCATTATGCGTATGTTTGTTCAATTGGCAGAAGTAATCAAGGGCATTTTCGGTACGCGTGCACTCGAGTCCTGAGTGCGCATTGCCGCATCCATTGCCTGCTTTCAGACGACATTGTAGATCATCAGGAATAAGGTCTAAGAATGTAATATTCATGATAGATGCGACATCCATGTGGACGCTAAGTCACCTTTTCGGGATACATCTTGTAGTGACTCAGTTTATCTTCTACGTTAGAGACCTGTAACAATAAAATTTTGTTTTCTTACTATGTTTTAGCTTGTGCAGAATCTTATTATATTTCTTAAACTCGATCGGGAAAGGTCAAACCCCCTGGGATTTTAGACCTTTTATAATTACTATTGTGTTATTGGGACTCTATTTACTAGTCAACGTTTTTGTGTAAATAATTCACATTTATCCGAAACATGTTAGTACAACTTTTTTTATTAATTGTAGAATAACATCCGTGGACTGTAAAAATATGCGAAATACCATATCTCTATATTACGTTAAATAAGATTGTGGATAATTTAGGTAATATGATAACAAAATGGAACAAAAATCAAAGTTTCTGGTATTTTTAAAGTATTACTGGTATTTCTGGCAGTCCAAAGTGTTAAACGGATCTCGATATATGTATATAATAGAGGCTTCTTACTTTTTCTTATTAACGGGACGGAATCGCGGGTAAAAGCTAGTATATAAACTTTACTCAGAACAAGGTCTTAGCTTATTATGTCTAGATAAGTGAAGACATCAGGGTCTAGTACAGATGACGTCATCCCAGTCATTACTCTAGCTTACTCAACTTTTATGGAATGCGGGACATTTTTTCCTTCACTTGAACTGACCTCTTTATTAAACTACGCTATAATTTATCTATGTTTTATTACGAAAATACAGTGAATTTTCACTCACAATTTATTCTACCAAAAGTATTAATACTAATCTGTATGAAAATAAAATACTTCTAATTAACTTTACAATACAATTCCATAATCAGAGTGCTTATAAAAAAACATATTTTCCATACAAGAGTGCAACTTAACAAGGACGTATTCAAATCAAATACTGCAGCGACTCTCATCCGTACACAGCGGATGTCTGCGGAACGACATGGAAATAATTCCGAACCTCGAAACTCGGAAATGGGAAATTCCATGTATACGTAGTTCATAGCTATTAACGTAGGTTTGCACGTTTTTTTTTTACAGCACAAGTTGGCAAACGTGCAAGCGGGCAACTGAATCCACCGAAATGGATGCCTGCTTTAGACATCTGCAAATGCAAAAGAGAAGACAAACATAAACAGGATATTTTCTCTTCTTATGCGTGTCCTCCACCGTCAAATCCAATTTTCCTTCGCATCTTTTCCTGTTAAGAAAAGGATGGAAAAGAAAAGGTACTAAAAGTAGGCTCCAGCCTCCTTATTTCTATCTCTATGTTACCAGATGGATGTTCATTTTTTTGTACACAGCAATGGACCAAGCAAAGGCCGCAAACCTGATCTCTGGCACGCTCCGCTGCGCTGCGGCCGTGGGGAGAGGTCACACAGAACCATCGCACAGCACTGCAGTTCACGGTCTATCGCTTACGTTGAATCGTAGCGGAAACAGAGGGTCAATTGAATACAACGATAAATATATAAATTCACAACTGACTTTTATCAGATTTTGCAAATGATTATGCTATGTAACTACAATATATGATTTCATGTTTTTCTCATTTTTATATATAACTAGCTGTTGCCTGCGACTCCATGTGCGCGGAGTGTTATTCTAAACAATTTTCTATATCTTTGCCAAATTTCATCAAGATCCCTTAAGCCTTCTAAGAAACATCCATCTAAACTTTCGTATTTATAATATTAGCATAAAGTATCAGTGCTATGTTCATCCTCAAAAGAAGACGAAACAAATAACAGCGCACTTATCAAAATCGGTCAAGCCGTTTAAACCTAGAGGTCAATATACAAAGTTTACCCTTCTGGGTCAGTCGGGACAAAACAATTTGTATAAGCGGTCAACGACTTATGAAGTGCCGCAAAAAGTATCTTAAAGAAAAAAGCTTTGAACTCACATTATGAAGAGCTTTTTATAAAAGTACTTGAAGTGGATTTGAGTAAAGGAGAGAATGTTTGTTATGCAATTAGCTTACTCCTAACAAAGCAATCCAGAACACTGGCTACTTCGCAAGGCAACTGTACAAATAAAGAAAAGAAAAATACACTACACTATATTTGTTCACATTTCTTATTCATTTGTATCAGAGATAGAGAGTTTTATTAAGTTGAATTAGGAATTTCTCAGTATAATTTTTTTCATGATATTGCCTGTCAGAAATCAACGAATTTACTTACAAAAAAAAACAATAATCAAACACTTTTAGTCGTCAAACCTTAGACACTACTGTTCACAATTAGGTGCACACACCTGAAACTAAACTATAGCATAACAGTTTAGTCTCGCTTTGATTCCTATGAGATTATATGGAGATTTGTACTCTACTCGATGTTTAGTTGTGCAACTAAACAGTTGAATTGGCTGCGAAACAATCGACAATCGATGATACAATGTGTTATAGGTCGCCAGTAACAAACATTAACGAGACCGTCCTTCTTAAAAACATGCACAAAATAAGTGTCAGTTTTTTATGCTTCTGAAACAAAACGTTTTTCATATAAACAACAATGTGGTCTTACATAAAAAGCTTCATTGCCCTCAGTAGTTATATATTATTGTTACTTTGTTACAGAAAAGCTACTCCGCAACACAATAAATTTTATAAAGTACTTCTGATGGTATAAACTAAAAGAGAAACTTTCCTACAATTTCTGTTGACTATGGACTGGATACTACACAAAGCTGTCTCCATTTAAAATAATAATAATATATGCAGACAATTTAAATTGCTATATCGTATTTTATCTAAACCAATATTATAAAGAGCAAAGATTTGTATTTTTTTATGTAGTTATTGAAATAACTCAAAAACTACAGAGCTGATTATAAAAATTCTTTCATTTTTAGAAAGCTACGTAATCAGTGAGTAACATAGGCTACTTTTTTAATCCCACGCGGACGTAGTCGCGAGCAATAGCTACTAGAAACTAGATACGGCATTGTTTAATTATTACTTTATTTCGAACGAAATTGCAGTACGAATATGTTTGATTTTAGTACAAACTTTGAATAAATTTATGAATAAGTCGTTACAGCAGTAGAAATCCACGGTGAGAATTGTTACATTTAGATCGTTTGTGCTTGTGTCAACCTCATTTAAACTATCTCAAATTATAGTACTTCGGGCGCGTATGTTAGCGTACCGCAAAGTTTTACCGCTCTTTATTTCAGTTACTACTCGACCTACAATTTAATACTAGTTTTTTACTGGGCGTGAATAGGTAAATTTTATATCGAATTTTAAATCTTCCTTATATTATAAATGCGAAATATGTTTAGTGGAGTTTGTAGTTAAAACTGCTGAGTGGATCTCAAAGAAATTTTAGTTAGATGTAAAGGACAGTATGGAAGAACACATAGGCTACTTACTTTTGATTATTTTTTTAATTCCATGCAGACGGAGGCGCGGACGAAAGCAAGTAAATAATATAGAAGTAAACATTTTACTTAACCTACCTAGGTTACTTGGTCTGAATTCATCTTGAATATTAAATTAGTTAAAAATGAAATTAACAGATAGAAGCTTCACAACTGACATATAAAATTAGTTACTTTAATTCAAAATATAAATGTTAACGTTAAATTTATTTTTAGTCAAGAACTTCTGTGTTTTAATCTCTGCAGTTGATATCTTTAGAATTTAAGCCCTTAGAGAAAATCTTGAAATAGAACCGCGAATTGTCTATACACTTTTGTAAAACAAACATCCAGAAGATTCCAGTCAGCTTTGCCCCTGAGCAAGAACACTATGAATGAAAGAGGCAAATTACACTGAAATAAATTTTTAAAGCGAAATATCGGGGACATTTCTACATCAGAAGTAAATTTAGTTTTTTCCTCACACTATCTATAAACGAGATTTTTAAAACAGATGTTTTTAGATGTAAATACTCGCAAAAGTATAGATATATCTACGAGAATGTAACAAACGATTTAACCTTGAGAATGATAATAGTAAGGTCATTGTCAAGGTTAAATCAAGGTTTTAAACACTAGCTGTTTTCGCGTGGCTTCATCCGCATGAAATTATAAAAAAAAATATTTTATTGTTTACATTTGTCAAATTATCAATAGCAAATGTCAAAATGACATGACATGACAAACCTTGGCAATTTTACTTTCTTGATGTTGGCAGCAACTCATGGTCTCTTTCCCACATTAGGGTTTTTTCCAATATAATTACCCCCTAAGTTTAATGGCGTGAAAATATATAGCCTAAAGCGTGACGTCAGTGTAGGGCTTTTTATTAATTAATAATTATTCAAAAATATGCTGTAATTGCTGACATCTTAGGCAACAAAGAAGTGTGTGTTTACGCTTCATTATAATTGTATAGAGTATAGATACCTCTTCTCAGAGACTTTTGTGTAATTTCTAGCGCATGGTCTAGGATAAGATAAACAAAATCAATAGCATTAAGAGTTATAAATCATGCACGTCGGCGAATGTTTGTGCAGCGTCGGAGGCAAATATCAACAGCTTGCCGTACTTCAAACACACACGATATATTCCAATATAAATTATTTAATTGAACAAGTTTGTAACAGTGACCTTACTCTTGAAATTTACTAAACAAATGATAATTCATAAAAAAAGTTAAAAGTGTCACAAATAAGATTGCATTGCAAAAACTCGTAAAAAACAGAAATAATAAAATAACGTGTAGCTATAAGCTTCGTCAATACCCACGACAATAATTTCAATCTCGTACTTAAAAATCTTTGCTTTATTGTGTTTTCTTGCAACATGACATCTTAATCCATACTAGTATTATAAAAGGAAATATTTGTATTTTTGCATTTTTATGTATTGAAATAACTCAAAAACTACTGGGCCGATTTCAATAATTCTTTATCCATTAAGAAGCTACATCCGTAGCATAGGCTATTTTTTATTATTTTTTTAATTTCACAGGGACAGTCGCGAGAAAAAATTAGTTACTAGTAAAGATATTTAATGACAGACGTCATCTACGATCAACTACTCTCAAAACTACTGTTGAAACAGTGACGTACTATCAAACCATGTTCCC